GTACAAGTAACAGAAAAAAATGCTATACATACACACAACAGATAACTCACAATCACAGATGCTACCAACATACAATATTACCTGAGAAAATATCCAGGAGTTTAAGATCTTCTTAACCTTACCTTAGATTCCCTTTAGCATTTACATTATTTTGTCTGTAATGACGTGATACAAAGCCATGGGGTGCAATAAGTACTACACAGAGTAAACAAGATAAAAACTTCACAATCCTGACATTCCCCCCCTGCCACCACTGTCCAGTTTTATACTACAATAACACTTCAGAGAAGAGGGAGGAAAAAAAAACCCCACCACGTACACAGTCAAGCAAACAAACAAACCCTCCTACTTAAGGGGGCCCTGAAAATGCATAGGCAGTTTCACTGAGTGATCTGAAAGCAGCATGTAGCTTGGGAAGAGAAAACTGCTGAGCTCCCAGAAATCACAGGGAGAACCCCCAGCACATGTTGCTGTTCCCCATTCCAATGTTTGGTCAAACAGAGGAGCACATTCACTCCCATCACTAAAAACAATGACTCAACTGGTTGACCAGGAGTCATTTCCTGCCCGGCTCTAGAGTGTGAATGGCTATTTCACTTATGCATGTGTTGACAACCTGATTAGTAAGTGTTTTCAGTTGAACTTTCCTCAATTAAGTCCTTTGTCAGAGTAAATAACAAAGTAAATGGAGCAGGCAGACTTGCCAAGTGCGACTTTTGATTGCTTAACTTCAGACAAAGAAGAGCATGGATGTGTTGTTCTGGTAATGATAACAGGAAAGCTCCCCTTAATCCCCGAATCAGCTCCAATTCATTTAACAGCGGCTGCCCTCCACTGGGCCATTCATACAGCCCCTTTGTCAGGAACTAAATTTTGCCAACAGCAGGGACTGCAGTTCAACAACCTGTAGCACGGGGCAGCTGCAGAGGGTACAGGAGTTCTCTGCAGCCTCTGCCTCACAGACAGTGCTTCACAACATAGGACCAGCTCACCTCAAACATTTGGTTTCCCTCGGGGTTAGCGCTCGACTCACTACATGCTTTGTGCATCAGTGCTTGGCAGGGGCTCAGTCACCTATGGCTGGCTGAAGACCTGTGTTTGCATGTGTATGTGCATGCACAGACATTGCTGCATGCATGTGTGTGCATTCTGCACAGCAACAGTGCATGCATCTTCCATGTTTCCCCTCAAGCCACTTACTGCTCCTCTACTCAGTGTGGGATGACCACCCACTAATGCCCCCATCCACACCACAAGTAACAGCTCATGAGTTTTGAGCACAAAGCAGCAAACTCAACACGCACCCTTCACCTCAAGTCTCTTCTGCCTTTTAGTAACCACCACCTCATTAGCTTATGAGCATTTTTTCTCTACCTTGTTTCAGTTAATTGACACTAAAATAAAACCATCTCAACAATCTCACTGTCTCTTCCTTGTCCCTCCTCTCTCACAGTAGGACCCCAAGCCCATCTCCTTATCCCACCTTGGCATGGCAGTACTAACACTAGAAAACACCCTCCGGTAGGAAAGCTTAAGTGTCACACTTAGCCCAGGAAAAAGGTGGATGATTTCAAACAGAGCTGCCAACAAGCATAAAATCAACAACTGTACAAAACACAGGAAAGAATCTGTTTAAAAATTCTTATAGATCTCAGCAATTGCTGACATTTACTGCATGCAGGTTTCATGAAACTGTCCCCTGCCTCATCTTCCCTGCCCCAAATACAACCTGTAAATATGCTCAAGTTCCAAAAAAACATTGAGAAATTGACTGAAGAGAGCTTACATTTATTTTTAGTTCTCCATTACACTAAATTTCCAAACCTTCATCATGAATAGTTCACGAGTTCCGCATTACTGAGGAAACTGGTGATTTTTTCAGCTTGCTGCTCACATGGTGAGCTCTGAAAAACAGAGCACAGGTTCTTTTCATCTTTCCCCTCCTTGTATCTCCTATTTGGATATTTTAATTTTATATTCCCTTTTCCTCCTCCAAGCACTTACTATTCTAGAGCTTGCAAAGACCATAACAAGTCTATAACAAGTATTTCCAGCCAACGGTGCAGTAGAGGGAAAAAAGTTCTAGATAATCTAGTATTTATAAATTTATAGGAAATTTACTCAACTATTGACTAGAATCATCTCTCATTTAGAACTTTAGAAGAACTAGCTTAAGAGAAAATGATCTGAAAACTACAAAGACAATAGTCAGTCTGTGACAGTTGTCATTTCATACCTCTTTCACACTTGAGGAAAGCAGGACACCAAATAAAACCCATGTAATTACAAGAAAGCTAACCTTTAAAACTCTTATGCTATTTTGAATAGTTTAATTGCTATTTGTTCAGACTGTATGTGTATTCTTGATAGTATCTCTAGGAGGAAAAGAAATGCAAGCTCAGAAAATATGCAGGAAGGACAGCACCAGAGTAGCAATCTACCAACCTGACTATCTTTTCACTGGCCTCAAGAACAAAAGGTTACCCAGAAACTGAGATCCTGATTGAAAGAAGGAATATAAAAAACATAAGCAGATAACATAGTGAAGCACTGCATAAAAGGCGAGAGACAAATAACAGGTATTTCTGGGCACACTGGTGACAGGACAAGGACATTAGAAAGAGGTAATCTACTTGTCACAGGGAGAGACAGCAGCAGCAGTGAGAGAATGGGATGACAAACCTGGTCTCTGCTTCAGTATCTACTGGTAGAAGATAGTGGTGGTCAAGTAATTAAGAATCACACACAAAACAGCACCAAAAGGGCAAGAAGCCAATACAAATAGGAAAAGGACAGGCTGGAGGGGGAAACAGTCTGAAATTAGATCACCTTGGCCAGATAAGTTTCACTGCTACATCTGGAAAGTAGTCTGAAATATTCTAAAAGCTTCCTGGGAAATATAAAAACAGGCTTGATTCATGCCAGCCTGTGTCCTAAGTCAAGCCCCAAATTTATCAAAGTAGTTGACCTGCGTTGTTTGTAATATATAAAGCATACAGATATAAAGGCATGTATACACACAGATTCTATATACACATGGGGAGAGGGAGAAATTCCAGCAAGCACATTCCTCCCCTAAGATTTGTTGAATCTTTTGGATTCAGATTTCAGCTTTTTCCTGCCTCTCTCCCTCCCCTGTAAGTCTACTGAAAAATTCAAGTCTATATTAAAATATTTGTGTTAGGAATACGGCCAATTTTTATCCCAAGTGAGCTGCCCTTTACCTGCAGCATCACAGAAACTCTCATAACAGAAAATACTGAAGTAAGTAGACCTCAAAAATAAGAGCCAGTGACTATCACAACGGGTTTGTCAAAAAAAGATAAAATCTGGCTTCACCAAGGTTGCCAGTACTGTCTCATACAACATTTAGTAGCTTGGAATAAACTGGAAATACATTCCCTTAAATTATATCTCATTGATACTGCTGATTGAAAGTACTGTGCAAAAGGGATACTTTGACAAAAAGTTTTCTACCTTCAAGAATCTGCTCTTCATTAGTATTTTATTAACCTGCATCTTTTGGATTGAGGCTGTAGTCCCATCTCCAAGCAATTACACCCATAAGGCACTCTAAAGGATGCTGCATGCATTTGGTAAAGGATGCTGCATGCATTTGGTTTTGTTTTCTTAAGTCTAAGTGCTTAATGCCTCAGTGCTCTTCCTTAGTCCTAATGAGGCTAGGACCACTGCTGCTTAATAAACCTATTTTTATTAATGTTTTTCCATAACATGTGTTAAAGAACTCTCTACATCTTGCAAACCTTTATGGGACACCTTCCCACAGATAGATCAGCCTGGGATCTTATCCAATACTGGACTGATCTGGCTGCATGCAGTATTATATTAAACACCCTCAAAACGCTCATAGCGGTCACTACTTTACATACTCTTCAGTTCTGCTTTTGTAAAGATCTTCTAAACTCTATAATCATTCTGTGGTATGAGCACAGCAAGCACAGAGGCACCTCTGGTAAAAAATGTGCCTCCTTAGACTAGTGCCTCCAGGGCAAACTGGTGCTCCGCAACCTCTTGCCCTGCACAGTCATCTACTCAAACTGTACTCATTTCCTGACCCAAAAATCAAGCAAGCAAGAGAAGAAAGCAAGAGAATACAGAAAAGAAAGCAAGAGAACGGAATCACTAGGAATAAGCAAAGCACTATAAAATTAGGCTAGTTATTGTGAAATAGGCAAATGTAATATATAAAGCAATAGCAAAAAAACCAAAAAACCTTAGAAGCCATTGGAAAGAGAAACTGTTAATCAAAATGAAGTTAAGCCCATCCTAGCGGACTCTTGTGTGACAGTATAAACACTGACACCATCAACAGTGCTATTAGGGGCTGGGAGTTTTAAATACACTCCAGATTCCCAAACAGCTTTAACAGTTACTGAAAGCACAAAGAACAAAACGTGGACAAAAATGATCATTTTTATCATTCCCACCCATGCTATGTTTAGACTTGGACACACTTAGAAAAAGTCAAAATTCTAGGGCTAAACCTGAAGGGTGTTTTAAGCTCTGCAAGAAGTAAACTTAGTAACGAGTACAAGTTAATTCATTTATATGAATCATTAAAAAGCTTTAATCCATCCCAGTCTGACAATTTCCAATATGGCAAAGCTTCATTTAAAAGAATTTTTAAAAATGAGAATTTAAGTACTACATCCTTATAAGTCACCTTACTGACCTTTCTGCCCTGTGTCTGGAGACCACTCAAGGCCCTATGCTGTATTTCAGCACAAATAACAGTTCAGAGTGACCAACTCTAATGCTGCCATAACCAAACCACAAGTTAACATAAAAGAGATCCCATTGGTAGCTTTCTGCTCTGTTTTAGTGTCTTTATGCACAAGGCTGCTAAGAACAGTTTTGTTGCTCTGCCTGCACGCCTGAGAGGTCTAACAGAGAAAAGTATGTGTAAAGAAAGGACAGATAGGAAAGAGTCGGGGGGGGGGGGGGGAAGGGGAGAGAAAAAGGAGGGAAAATCCACTCACCTGCCATTTTTTTTGATGTAGGTTGCTAAATAACCATGGTCTTCCCAGTTATGAACTGTTTCTGTCATTCCCTGCTCCTGAAAAATGGGCTGTAGAGCTTTAAGAACAGCATTGCAATCAGCTGCAAGATTAAGAGAAAAAAAGAAGTTAGAACATTATCAAGTGAGGATTTCCCACTCCTATTATTCTTATATTCACCTAAAGAAAAAAAAAAACCAGATACAGCACAAGGGGCAAAGGAGAACTATGCACAATTCTTCCTAGCTGCCAGGAGTATTCCTTCAGCTCCAGCTCAACAGCATCTTTCACATTTACAGCCTGGTCTCACATCAAAAAGAATACTATTCCCCCCTCCATCTTTTAAAAAATAAATTAAAATCCTTCTTCCCTCAAAGCAGTATAAGCAAATGCTAGTGCACAGAAACATGGAAATACAGACATTTGTCTTCCCACCCCAGCATCTGTCAAAACAGACAATTTCTCTCCTGAGCTGTGATTCAGAATCTTGAAAGCATTTCAGTGCAGGAATAAGAGGACCAGGAAAGCTCAGGAAACTTCAAAATCTAATGCATCTTTGAGACCTGCTAAAATTAAGCTTTATATTTAAAGAAGCAGTCTTAAAAATCATTTAAAACAGTAACTTAGAAAAGGCAGAGAATGGAAAAGCCTAAGTGTCATCCTGCATTTTCAGCATGGGGCAGGGACTGTGTGCAGGAAGAGGTTCCCCCTTGAACTGGTCTTGCCCAGAAGTAGCAAAGCCAGAGCCAGCCCTCACCACCCGGCTGCTTTTCTGCATCAAACAAATTGAGCATCCAGGGAAAAGGAGCATCCTTTCCCTAACAACTGGGGCAAGTGGTCTTTTCAAGTGAAGACATTGTGGAAATAGCATCTCACAGAGAGTACTGGGATTGGGGGGATAACAAGAGAAGTTACAATGACAAAGTTGTTAGTTTGTCCATCAACAAATCCATGGCCATGCAGTCGGGCAGTAACATGACATGGATTTGAAGTTATTCCATGAGACAAATCATCTGGGGTGGGCTTACAACCAAATGCTTCCAGTACTGACACATTTTTTCCCCCCTTCCCATGCTAATATTTAACTTTTCTCCCCACCACCATCCAAATGTATAGATCTTAGGATCCACTCAGTGCAACCTGCAGGTCTTAGCAGCGAGAATTTCCCAGAATTTAATGGTTTGGGAAAGCTTTAAAGATGATTTTTTAAAAAGTTTTTTTTTTTTTTTTTAAAGAAATAATGACCACCTCATCTACCATATGCAGGGAACTCCACAGAAGAGCCAACTAGATATCCAGTTACTCGAAACCCACAATTCTGTCCATCCGTAAAGCCTGGGCTCCGACATTCCCTCTATGTTTCTGTATGTTTTACCAGGAAAAACAGAAGTCACAGAAAAGCATTTCCCTTATTCTTCCTCTACATAAAGTCAACAGTGACCTAATTCCTCAATCTCTTGCCAAGAATATTCATTATGAGTGGAAAGCCCCTGCTTCTTACTGCTGCTATTACCCAGGCTTGAATTTGTGCTTCAAGATAAACTATTTACTTTTCATCTGCTATGTCTGACTCGCCCACTACTCCCCATGTTACAGCCCAGGGTTAATTAGAATTAACAACACACACAAGTTCACACACCCAAGTTCTGTTGGACAACAGCAAATAATTTAACCGTCAGCAGGACTCTTGCTCCCCATCAGTATCTCCCCACACTTTTCACCCTCACTGAGGCAGCACCACCTACACATGCTACATGCAAAGGCTCTTTTGTTCTTCCCTACCCTCCTGTCAAAAGTCCAGGTAATTTACAATGGCTAAAATACACCAAGAGTAAGTTAAAACTGTTATGCTTGCTGCCCAGCACAGTTCTGGGGCCGTCATGGTGCAGGCAGTGGTTAAAGCTCTGAGTGCAGAGCTTCTCGACCCTCAAGCGAGGGGAAAGTGGGGCTGGCAAGCGAGATGGTGCGCTGGGGGGATGCTCTGATCACAGAGCAAGTGGCACTGTAACTCCAGCTGCCCTTCGGATGCTGCCTCCCACTCCTGCAGCTTGGCACTGTGAGGAGAAAAAGGGCTTCTCCTCCCTCCCTTAGCTCCCCATTTCACTGGGGGAGTTTTTTTTTTTTTTTTTTAAATCAACTTTAAACATCCAGCTTCTGGCACACATCCTTCATTCTGGGGCAGAAAGAAGCAGCTGTTTCAAAGGCATTGTACCCACAAACAATTTTTGACCCTTCAGACATTTGGTCCTCTTTTCAATTGCTCTTTGGCCACTTCAGTAGTAGTGCAAGTAGGCAAGAATTACATCTTTGGTCCCCACACTTCTTTTCTTCCTCTATAGTTTCTTACATAATTACCAGAATCATTTTAGGCAATAACTCAGATTAATCCTGCACTCTATTGTCTTCCGGGCAGCAAATTGGCATGAATCCCAACCAAACCGGGATGCAGCCAACTCCCAGGCTACTTAATCTCTTCTGCCTCTGCAAGACACTGAAGCAGTAAGACATAGAGCAGAATCTCTAGGAGGAGGCAAAAGTTTCTACTACCTTACTACTCAACAGCTTCAAATTGCTAGCCGGGTGCACCGTGGCAGAGTCTGTGGGATGAGGCATCACAAATATTCCTTTTCCTCCAAGATACCAATCCCTCATCTTTCTAAAACAGATCTCCTCACTGAACAGCCAAGCACAAACTCACTTTCAAGTTCTCCCTACTACACACTGTTTCCTTCTGGGAAGTCAGATTGCAACACGCTCTTTCTTAAGTGGTTCTTTTTGGTTGTACCACACAAGATTCGGATTGATGGCTAAATAATACCCTAAAGTTGAAAGCCTCCACTTTAAGGGTTTTTTTGGGGGGATCACCATTGAGTTGCTCAAAGGTATCAGAAAGTTTCAGGAATCTCAAGGTCTCTCAGCTAAACCCACTTGCCACCACCCTCACTCCAGGTTCAATATGCTATAATGAACATTCATACTTGAAAAGGTCAACAGTGATTTAAGCAATAGGAACATCTCAAAACCTAGACCAAAACACAGAAGTGAATTAACAGGATTTCTTCCTATTGAGGAAGAGAAGAATAAACTCAAGTTACCAAATGTGACAAAACTGCTTTAAGTATTGGATAATTATTTGCAAAAGGACTGAGAGAGCCCAGAATTTCAATTCCAGAGTTGAAACAAAAGAAATCACACAAAATATTCATGGAACTTGTCTCAAAAGATAAGGCCCAGTCAGCTGAACCACAGATTTTCAATCCTAAAATACTTCCAGAAGAGAATTTCAGTCACGTTCCTCTAAAGTTTTGGCAGCCAGGAATCAATTCATGAACATGATCCATAAGCATCAGTATTGCTTAAAATATGGCAAAAGGCTTAAAGTTTAACATGGGTCAAAGTTTCTTCCAAATACTTTCAACACTGAGCTCAGTAAATGGCTACCAAGCAAAACCATGTCTAAAAATAAAATGCTCTGTTTTGATTTAAGGCCTCCTCATACCAGAGCATTTACAAAAATCTTAGTAGATCATGGGAACAATTTAGTTCTCATTTGCATGTTCACTTCTTTTCTGACTTTCTTAATCAACCAGATCAAAATTGGAATATGTTATGTTCTTGCTTGTTAGAGGGAAGAAAGAAAAAGGGAAAAACCCACAAACACTAGAGCAATTCCACATGCTTCTACAGTTCTGCTGCATTTTTCCTTTAAAAAAAAAGGGGGGGGGGGAAGAGAGAGAGAGAGAGAGAGAGAGAATCCAATGAATGGCTTCACTAACAATTAACATATGTTAGGAGCCAAAAATGCAAAATATACTGAAAGCAAAACAATCCAAATGTTGACAGCTTATTTCAGAACCACATAAACTAATCATTTCATATATTGCATAGTAGGATTGTACATTATATACTACAAGTAGTTGTACAAGCTCTTATACACGGGTGTTTTACCTATAAACTGGCATTCTCCTAAAACCTCACTAGGAAAGCAAACAGGGCAGTATTTCAGAATGAGCAATAGAGAGAACATGCTTGAGAGAAGAGATTATTTTTTGCCAGGTCAGGCTGCAGGGTCACTTCAAGACAGGCAGCAGGACAGAGTGCAGAACTGCATCACACTGTCTTGAATTGGTCGCAGCACCAGACCCAGCTGCTCCAGAATAACTCCTGAGAGTACAAAGAGAAACAGCCTCACGTGGCACCAGGGGAGGTTCAGGTTAGATATCTGGAAGAATTTCTACACACAGAGAGTGGGGGGGCACTGGAACAGGCTGCCCAGGGAAGTGGTGCAGTCCCCATCCCTGGCAGTGTTAAGAAACGTGCAGATGAGGCACTTAGGGATATGGTTCAGCAGGCAGGTGGTGAAGGGTTTGCAGTTAGACTTGATCTCAAAGGTCTTTTCCAAGCACACCGATTTTGCAATTCTATGCTCCTGCAGCCAGGATGCAGGAGGGAAGAGGCACAGTGCAGAACACCTCCTTCCAGCCCCTCTTACTTACGTTGCTTACACAGGTCTAGCAAGGTCTCATCTTGTAGTGCTAACACTGCTTGAGGCATTTGTCCAGCAGCAGTTTTATTCAACTTCATTCCCATCTGTTCACCCAGGAAAGCCTCCCAAATTGGGGATGCATTACAGGAGAGCTCAGTGTACAAAATGGTCATAATTTTGATTTCACAACTATATTTATGAAACCAACCTCATCTTCCTACTATGACTTCTCTCCCCCTTCATATGTATGGAGCAGTACAGAGGTAATCTGAAGACAACTAATCATTTAGTCACCAGCCTTTACAGGACAGTCTTCCATCCCCTCTCTGCTCCACACCCCCCTTTTTTATTTATTTTTTTTTTTTTTAAAGGTTTTAAAATTAAGTGGTACCCTCTTTCCCCTTTTGGAAAACATCCTACTAGACAAAAGTGTGCAGAGCACTCCAATAGCTTAAAAACACATTGTCTAGAGACATTTCCACTGAAATAACATGGGTTCAGCTAATAGTTCAGAACATAACAGCTGCTAATGTCTTTTTTTCCCCCATTTAAATAGGCATTCCCATTTAAATAGGCACAGATTGCAAGAAACTCCCTTCCCAACAGACTTGATAACAGCAAGCAACTGGCTTTAG